TACTCACAATACTCACTTTATCATGCTTACCTCGTACGGCCTTAAAACTATACTTCATCATTTCGCCCAAATATATCTACATCAGATACATATATCTAGTACATACAAGCCTATGTAAATATATCAGAATTGTTTTTGAACGCCAGATAAAATTAGAAAATAAACAAGCTCTTCATAGAATTCGCATACATATGTATTTAGCCAAAATAGTTTCTTAAATGGCGAATGCTAAAACAGACCACGCTTTGTTGTTAGTGTTAAGCCCCGCTAAAATTCGAATTTCGTAAAATTTATTACATTTTTTTACTGTGAATGTGAGTATTTTATACTTAATTAGGATTGAAAACGATTTTCGGCTCAGAATTAAAAAAAAAACGAGCTAACAGTAAGATGGCAATACTCGACTTTAATCGCCAACTAACAGCTATCAATAGATTGGCATACCTTTGTCAGTCATTTTTCCGATGATCTCATACGGACTGCCATACCTATTAATTGCTTAACAACTCACAGCGCCTTTATAATGTATTCCCGTATTTTGAACAGCTGATTTCTCAGAAATATATTTTTTTATTACATAACGAATTTTATATACATTTTACATTTGTATAAATATATTATTATTTTGCTTCTTTTTTAGCATTCTATATATTTCACTATATCATTCATTTTTGTAAAGCTAAAATCATCAAATAAACTAATAATATGTCTTTATATTACCGTTATAATTCACTCCATATAATGTATAGGTTTAACTTTATGAATATTTCCAAAGAAATATCCACTGGGGCAGTGATCTGCAGCAACCTTATTCAGGCTTTGTCTAAATAATATGATCGATCAGTATTCTTCCACAAACAGAAATCCATATACCATACATATGTATAAGCCCTGAACTAGAAACATATTAACTGATTTTTTTAAAACCGGACTTGTTCTGAGCGCCATCTGATGTTCTACATAGGTTGATGTTATCTTTGTTAATACGAAAAATTAATAACATCTAAGTTTATTACATCAATAATTTTTTATAACATTTTTTTTATTGTTTTTTAAATCTATATTTAATTGACTCATTGTTTCTTTTATCTTTACAGAACATTTCCTAGTCTTAGCGGAATAATCAGAAAATATTACCATAGCAGTCTATTCACAAGGTACCGACGCATGGTGCCATAATTAAGCGAATTGATACATCAACTCTATTCGTAGAATATGAAGTAAGTAAGACCAATATTTAAATTTTATTTATTTTTAGCTCTCTTTGTCTCTCGCTCTTACGTTCCCTTTTTTAAACCTATTATAGTGAAGTACCTTCTCTTGTTTGCCTATTTACAGCCTCAACAGCGGTAGCACCAACTATCTGAGCAATCCGGAAGCTGCCAAATAGAATTTCTTTGTGAATCTCTTTGCGGTGGCTGGTCACTTGATCAAGGAAAGGTCGGTGCACTTGCGCGAAGAAAATTCAACGATCTACAGCCGGTAGCCAGCATACCGAAGGAAATCAAATCTTCATAAATTCATTGCAATAGGGCGGTCAGGTGCTCAGCGAAACTGATCAACTGTACACGTTGCAGAGAAGGTGTAAAATAGAGAAGGTTCAATTACGGACCAGAGTGTAAATCGTTAAAGCCTAACAAAATGCGATGAGCGTGTTTCATCACAGCCAGCTAGGAAGAAGAAATTTCGACAGGGTGACGTGAACAGAATCACGCATTGAATTAGAATTAAGCTCAGAAACATACTTTGATATTACAGACGCGATATAACCTTTTCATTAATATCATTTTGCGAAATTTTATGAATGCAAGTTAGCTTTCGGTGGTCGCTAAAGGTTTTTTTTTGATAAAGAATTGATAAGGAGACGATTTAATTGTAGTGAGTTACTAAACTGAGGGTTAGGTCTAGGTACGAAAGCTCAGTTTAGGTCAGTATATAAAAATGTTACTGCAAGAAACACCTCCAAAGCTTCAAAATGTGTTTTTATTGCATACAGCACTGCAGGTGTGTATATTCTTTTACCATATCAAGTATACTTTCTGGTATATTTACCTCAATTAAATAGCTTTTGTTATTAAAATAGAAAATCGTTGACAGTTTATTTACTATATCTTGCTTAAAATGATTCAAAGACTTTTTTGTTTCGTGAATATTTAGTCGCTATTATTTGTATAATGTTGGGTTTGCATTAGTGAATCCCTACAGTCACTTGTCATACCTGAAAAAGTTAAATACTTTTTTTATACGTGTCTTTATAATCTGGAACTAGACTTATTGGCGAAAGCTCCTCAATAAAAGCTCTCGATATTACCATTTTTACAATATAATATTTCCAGGCCTTTCAGTATCATCCCTATGAATGAACTTGAATATGTCATTGTCACTGCCTTTCCATATTCTGACTCTTGTGAATCAGGGGCGCATTGAACAACGTCAGTTTCTGGCGCCTGGGCCCTGTTATTCTATCGGATATGTTTGGTCTGTTTCGGCCTTATTTTTGAGTTAGTGAAACTAACGCGCTGCCTAAACCTAGGACAGGAGTCAACTTCCATTGGCTCCGATGTTTGTCCCTGGTGTTCTCTTTTGTTTTTTCTTGGTTTGTATTAAATTTTTGTTTTTTGACGAAATGCGGCTTTCTTTCCTTACCGCGCCTCCTATACTCTTCGTTCTGCAATGGCTTTGGCATATGAGTTCGGAAATATACTGCGTTCTATGTTAGCTTCTGTCTCTCTGTCCAATGCCAAAGCAGATGGTAGGTTCTTTGGTTGTTTTGGAAAGACAATAGATCTAAGCGGCTTCTTTAGACCAGAAATGAAGACATGAAGTGCATCGGCTCTGACCTCCTTATTAAGCCTGCTCCGCTTTATGAGTCATCACAATTTTGTTGTTAACTAATGTTAATTTTTTTCAACCTCTTCGTATTACTCCATTAGACTTAGCTCATCTCGTCTAACCATTTCAAGTCCTTGCCTCAAAAGCCGTAGTGAGGTTTTGGCTAACAGCACTCTGCCCTAACTCTTGCACTTGATTTGCATTCATTTCAAAGTGAACTTCGTTTGGTACTTGGCTTTCGCTAACTTCTGTGTCCCACTCAATTTCACTTTGCACTCAACTTTCATATTTTATAGTGTGTCAACCCAACTCATATTCGTATGTGCTATTACCTCGCAGAATGTGTTTAATTTCGATCAAACCGCATAAAGATTTGACGTTTAACATTTAAAGCAAAAATCCTTATTATAAATATATTATTAATTAAATTCTTTTAATGTGGTAACTTGATATATTCACAATACACTTGCCGCTGACAGCGGTTTTTTGTTTTTTTTTTGTGATGCACGATTTGAAATTATTTTAAATAAACTTACATATGTTAATATGGGCAATAATATATTTCTAATCCTATCTTAATGGTGTAGATCCTTGTTGGTTGGACGCCAATTAAGCATGTTAAACAAGTAGATTCCTATGATAGAGATGATTCGGCTAGTGCCGGAGCAAGTACCTATATTGTTATACTTTTAACTTCCAAATACAAACTGAAACTTAGGATACTAATTGACTGCAAGCCGACTCAGCATAAGCGATAACGTAGACATTTGCAGCTACCGTCAAAAGGTTTGAATAATTCGTACGCATCAACGGCTGATTGCCTCCATGCTACGTATTCTTCTGACCAGCCATTAAATTCTGTGACTGATTTTATTATGTCCGGAGGAATATTGCAATTGATCTGTGGATCCACAAAAATTCTTTTATAGGGCTCAACTTGTGGTACTTCGATACTCAAGTTATTTACCCGCTCATTCATAGCGTTGAGCTATGTTTGAAATCTTTGTTATTGCTGCGCTAATGCTTCGCTAACAGCGGTGACTATTAATGCTTGCATTTAGCTATCGTTGTTTTCTATGTCCCACTCAATATCACTGTCGCACTCGGTTTTTATATTGCGTAAGGCGTCTAACCAACTCATGTGCTCATGTGTATAAAACAAATTCTTAGCAGCGGCTTGAATTTATTTAGAATAGATTTGTTTTTTTTAGAATAATTATTTTAGCTGACACAAAGTATATGCTTGTATATATCTATTTTTTTTTAATAACTCGATATTTCACAATCACATCTGTTATTGTTAGTAGTTTATAACTAATTTGGTGCAAGTAATTTGGAGAAAATCTTAAACGAACTTACATGGTATGGAAAGTAGAGTAACTCTAACACTAACTAGGGTGTGAATCCTTGTATGTTGGGCGCCAGTTATCGGGTTGCGGTCCCGCGTTGTTGATGGAAGCCTAACAACGCGTGCTAGCTTAGATGTGTGCAGTCAATGCACGAGATGATTATAGTTAACTTCTTTGGTCTATTACGTTGGGAGCTTTACTTCGCTCTCTTATAGCTGGCCGTGTGGCTCAGTGGTCACATGCCATGTGACATCTATGTGATTGGGAAGTTGGTACTTATCAAAAGTAAGGACTCCGGTATGTTTTGGTTTTCCATCTATGTTTTTGCAAAATTTGTACACTTTAACAACTCCTTGGTCAGATAAGTTTTTAATGATTTCCTCTTCACTTAGGTCGATGAGGTATGGGGCATATATTTTGCCTTTAATATAATTGAGTTTTTCATGGTATTTTGTATTCACTTCACAGACACCGTAAAAAAATTGAACGAATGAACTTTTCGGCGGTTGATTTGGCTTTTAGTAATATATATTTATTTAATGGTTTATTTATATCAACGGACGATATTACAACGTATTTGGGATTTTTCACTTCTATTTCTTGAAAATTAGGAAAAGGCTCAAATTGTTTTTTTTATTTTTTTTTCGTTTTGGTTGGAGGTCAGATGCCAGCAAGGCAAGTCTGTTATCCCCAAGTTTGGAAAACCCGGGGGTTCTTATGGCTGTTTCTTATGCCCCAAATAATAAGTTTGTAATTACTATAAATATTTTTTTGTACTAGAAATTTGGTACAGTGTTTAGAGTATGATGCATGTTGTTGGTAACAGTTGATGCAAAAAATGCGTTCGCAATCGGCTGGGGCATGCGGAGAATTCATGAATTTTTTCGCAACTCCGTTATTTTTAACATGCAGAAGCAAATTTCCATCTCGTAGGATAGATATAGAGTGGATGTAACTGCTAATTTGCTTAATAGCACGATAAATGACAAAGCAAGAATAGGACGAAAGGGGTTTGGCCGTGTCAGTAGCTTCAAACACTACGAATTTTAAGTCGTCAACTTTTACCTCAGAAAGCTCTGGAAAATCCATAATCGAGACATTTTTTACCAGTTTACCGTTTTTTTTACCAGGTCCCGTATAGAGTATGGCGAAACGATTCGCCTGGATGTTTTAAGGCCCCGCGGACATTTTGAACGTGGAAACTGATGCGCAATTATTCAAAAAGTTTCCGCTAGTGAACAGTAGAAAAGAAAAAGTAAAAAAGAAGAAAAGTCCGAAAAAGGGGAAAAAATTATCCGAATAACTAAATGTAAGTAAACTCGAAAAACACTCGGAATGCGAAAGAGACGTCTTATCGGCGTTTCGTTTTATATTGTACAATTTACGTGAAATAACATGCGATTCTATATTTGCTAGTTCACACAAAAACTTGATTTCTGTATAAAAATTGTTTGAAGTTCTTGTATGTATTTTAAAACTTCGAGAACTGACGACTGCTTTGGCGGATTATCTTATTTCTCATTCTCCTCAACATCAGCATCATATAAAAATTCTTCAACAATTTATAAATCAGTAAGTTCTCCAGTACATTCCGCCTTGTCGTCACATGTTACGAATTTTTCAAATGTTTCTCTTAAATTCTTTTTGAATTCAAATTCATCGGAACTTTCAATTTCTTTATTTTCTCCTTCAGAAGGTTAATACATTTTTCGACTGTAAATTAATAATTATTTATTACTAGAGGACCCGGTCCACGCGTTGCTGCGGCTACTATTCAATACAGTAAAATTGTTTGATTTGCTCTTATATATCTTTGACTTGCAGTATTTCGAGTTCATCGGTCTAAGTTTGTACGTCTGCTTGGTGGCATTTATAAAAACGAAAGTCCAACTGAAAATAAAAAATTACTGCCTTATATTTTCTGTTTAACCATGTATGCGAAATTTTAATATTGTGTAGTCATCAAAAGTTACCAAAAATCGATATTAAGCTGTGAACTTACCGTGATTTACAAACACTTATTAGCAAACAACAAACTTCTTAGTCTTTAAAAAAAAAACACTTTATCAAAAACTTAATAAAATTATTGGTAGCGCTATGTTAGGTTATGTGTGTCAGATTACCATAGATTACTAAATAGGTTATGCTTACATTAAAATGAAATCATCACTGGTATTATTAATATTACCGTCAAAGTCGGTACATTTAATTGTGGCGAGTAATTTTCAAAAATTATTAGATTAGTGCAATAGAATTTAATTATGTAACCACATTTTCCAACAAACGATGCTCTTTCAATATAGTCTATGGCTGTGAATGACGATGACATTCGTTACGCGCTTTTTTTAAAATATGCAGAATTAAATGCATTCTTTCAATCTTTCTGAGACATTTTCTTAATATTTTTTTCCGTAAGAACCTTCTACAGAAAAAAAAAACAACAGCCAAATCGGTCTAGCCGTTCTCAAGTTATGGCGTGACAACGGGAAAAGGGTTTCATTTTTATATATATAGATAATTTATTATAAGAAAAATAAATTGACAATATCAGTTATATAACTAACTTTTTAAAACACTGTTTTATAGTTGTTGGTTTAACCATCCAGAGAATGCGCTTTATCATATGCATTGCTTGACGAATATTGATCGACTTCGAAAACGCATCAATTGTGTTCCCTATAGCTGCAATTTGTTTTCTTATAAAGTTCTGCCTATAATATGATTTGAATGAATGAATTATACCTTAATCTAGGGGCTGCATTATTGACGTTGTATTTGTTGGCTTCAAATTTGGAGGCTTTTGTGACAAGATGCATTATCTACGAACAGGATAATTTTTCGATTTTATGAAGGCACTACTAATTTAATATAATTTGAGTCCATAAAGCTTCTGTCATCCATGCTTTTTGGTTGAAGTAATACTTTAGAGGCGGCACTTTATTTTCACAGTAAAGTGGAATTTAAGCTTTTCCGGTCTTAAAAATCCTTTTGTGGTCACCTATATATGGTGTCCGTGTTTTCAAAGGCTTTTTTTCAAACTCCTTGTTGCACTTAACATATTGTTCAAACTCTGCAGGTTTGTTGATTGTGTGATTAGCTTATTATTTTACTTAGCCTACCTCACACCTAATGCTTATTGTTGTTCTACCGGTGTCGCTTCCGTAGATTTGCTATTGGTGGGTATGATTTCGCTTACACAGCGCCTCATGCAGAGGTTAATGTTACTGTTGTGACATCAACTCCACAATTTGACCGTGCGATTTGATATCACATTTTGTCAGCAGTTATCGTGTGAAATTATTTGTGATAACTTATGTAAAGAAGAAGTAAAGTGAGTTCTAAATAAGGTAGGCTGGACAGGCGTCTGTCATAAAATTTATTTTCTCGTTCTTTCTGCCGGTAGTGGATTCCTGGTCCTCTGTTTTGACATAAAATAATTTTTGGGTTTTCTTAAAACATTTGAAGTATTATTGGATGGCTTTACTATAGACGTACTACCCGGTCGGCTGTTTATGGTGGGGTTCTTTACATTATATTCTTTAGATAAACTGAATAGTTGATTAAGTTTATGTTTTGCATTCAAAGAGAAGAGCGTATTCTTGGGGTGTCTAATAAATACATTCGGCTCCTAAAGTGTCTAATAGCGCGCTTGTTGCCCTGAAATAGCCCTGTTCCTTTATTTTGTCGATTAACAACGATGCGTAAAACTATTCTACGCTAACGTGTTTTTGAGATAAGGATTCCAATTCATGTTCCAGAGTCATTAGGCGTATTTCAGTGCCAAATAGTTATTTACTCAAAAATTCGAAAGTTTAAACTTTTTAATGCTGCACAAAACTGAAGAACATTTAATACTTATCTTGCAGCTCCGAGTTAAAATCACTAAATATTGAACTAAATCACTAAAAAATCAATTAAAGTTTAAGAAATTTTGCAAAATTACACACAATAGTTCAGAGCAAAAAAAGTACAACTTTACAGCTTGAAGTGTTGCCACGCTGTATGTAAAATAGACTCGACATTATGAATCCAGAAAATGAGTTGAAGCGGCTCTCCTTCGAATGTCGGGAGACTCTTCACACAGTTATTCAGGCAATCTACTAATTTCGACTAGGTCTGCTTCTGTCACTGATGATGCCACTAGATTGGCGTTGATTGTTGATTTGGTGGCTTTTGCACTTTTGTCGCTTTCACAGTTGAATCCTTTTATCGAAGTGTATTATCTTTAAGCGTTTTATGATGGTTGTCTGAGCTTTAAGTCTTTTCAACAACACATATTACAACAGTTACTCGTACTTAAACATTTCACTTTAGTTTACTCAATGCAAACTTAATCATTTGTTGCTGTTTTAGTAAATAATATACCATATACTTTCTTTGGCTTTCATCGAAAATATTCAAATTTTTTATTATAAATTTAAAGTCTCGGGCGCCAGTAAATGCTGTACACCGCCCACTGATGACAATCGGCCTCATTGGATTACAAAATTTAACTCAAGAACTTTATTTAACAAATTTCTTTTATAAAAAAAAAACTCGCTTATTTGCTATGAATTTACATATGTACGAGTTCTTATTAGCTAGTACTTATTTCTATATATTCAATAAGGATAACGTAACCAATAATCGGAGCCAACCTCAGTTTGATCGAGAAACGGCTTACATTGCGGCTGCACGGTTTCCGCTTTGGTTTGGTGCCGACGAAATGTGGTGTTGTTGTTATTGCAATTTTTGTAAATAAACTTTATGTTATCACATCAGATATAATTGATTACTTGCCTCGTGTGATAACGGTGACACAGAAAAGTATTTTAATTTTCAACAATATTTATTTTGGCGCCTTCAAAATATAAGTTAGGTTTTCTTCTACTAAAACCCGTAAAAAAATATAAAGATATATATTTTTTTAGTGGAGCGTAACTCCTTTATTGGTTGGTATAATAATTTACACTCAATCTTAATTCTATTTTTACTTAACATTAAGCTTAACTTCTAAAGCAGCGCTGCCGCTGTTGTTTACGGGAAACGGTTGACATACCGTTCCCAGAGGAAACAAGTGTTCGGTCAGCACTTTTTAATTGAGCGTGCAATATGGCCTTCAGGTGAAGAGTCGTATTGCACTTTACGTATAGTTTGCGAGTTTGATATTATTAGGGAGGGATAGCTTATTTGTTGCTAACTTATACTCCTTTCGAAGCGATACAGATATGCCACCCTTTTTCCATTCATCGAAACATGCCATGTAGGCATGTTCGAGATCGCCTTCATTTCCCTCTGCGAATTTGCTTTTACGGCTCTCTCTCTAACACTCGCATGACGATTTTCGAGCACGATTTCCTTCACTTTTTTGATGTTATCGCCAGTGGTAGACGTCAAAGAACGACCGGAACGAGGCATGTCTTCGACAGTTTCTCGACCATCCTTCAAGGTATGAAAGCTTAACATATTTTCTAGCTTTATTCGCTTATATTGTGGCAAACAGAATTTATTTAATAATCATTTCATGGAGCGAGTGTCTAGTAAACACCTAATTTTATTCTTGCCTGTAGTGAGTTCTATTAGCGGTAGACAGGTCGATGGGTGGCTGTGAAAATTTTTTTCTCCATGTGGTCTACCTCAAGTGGCTTTGGTGCTGTGTAATTATTGCACCTCAGTCTGGATAGCCGATCAGGTTGCCAATATTGCCTGGTGAAGCGATCATGTTGTACTGAGTTATGATAATTTTGACTGTATTGTCCTGAGAAAGGGTCCTGAAATACAATTGTTTTGTGTGAATTGTTCAGAAGAATGGTCCTGTTGTCTTGAATTATTAGATTAGATGGCCTGAAGTTCTGAAATTCTGTCAAAATTGTATCAAGGTGCGTGACTGTCTGATGTAGTTATCGTGGAAGTAAACCTGTTTTTTTCGAGTGTATAATAGGCTTCCCTCTTCTTTTTCTTTATATGCCTATTATGAATGATGCTACGCAATGTGGGTTCATTGCCGTTCAGAAATGTTTTTAAAATTAATGATTCGTTTACGCTAGGAGAAAATTCTACAGGTCTTGTTTGATCGAATTAGTATTTATTATTTATTTGATATAGACTTTAAACTGTTGTAGTAATTACTCACGTTAGTATATTTTACACTAATGGTTTGGTTATAGACGCCGTGGTAAGTTTCTTTAATTCCGAAGTTTTCGATGAGTTTAGTTAGTAGTTTCGATGCCATGCCATGTTGCGGAAGGACTCAATGTCCGGATGGCTTGAAATGCTGCTCCCTGAATATTGGTCTAGATGTGCCGCTCGAAGATGAACTGCTTAAATGCCGGATTATCATCAAACAGTGGAAAAATAATTTCTACTTCTCTCAAGGAGGAAGAGAGATCATATTCTTCGTTGATGCCATAATACAGTTTTATTCTTGCGGCTTTCTTTATTAACTCTGTTGCTGAAACTTGGTTGGCTATTTGTTATATATTTCGCTTATTTTGTATTTTTTTTACTAATATATATTTTATTTTTATATATATTCTTTTTTTTTTTTATTTTGTATCTTAGGATACAGTTTTCTTACTAGGACTAAGCTTCAGTTATTGTCCGTCTCACTCTGCTTTTTTTCGGTTGGACTTAATTTTGATTATAGTTCCTTTATTGTATATCTTAGGATATAACTTTGGTAATTGTCCTTTCACTATATATCTTTAGACACATTATTTTTTTAACCGAATGGCGATCGATCGAAAAAAGAGGGGCCGTATCCAGTCGTCGATCCCTTTTGTTGGTTGGGTAGAGTGGTGAGATCGTGGGTGTGTTGGTGTTGTGATGTGTGTTGGTATCCCTCGGTGAGTTGTGTAAAGTTGTATGTATTGGTGTGTGGTGTTTTCAGGAGTGGATGGTATTGTCGTGGTGTGTTGGAATGTATCAGTGTTGCTTGTAAAGTGGTGTGTGGTGCTTGTGCAGGGATGTTTACTGGGAAGGCTTATAGTTCATTTAGCCAGCGACAATTAGGTCGAATGTACCGGCGGGAACCAAAAAAACAAAAACAATTCGTTTAATGTTGACGGTGTCACTTTATTTTACATTCTCCCGTTTTGTTTTTACAATTATTCGCTTATATTCTGCAATAATGTTTACTTAGCTGAATATGTCATTTGGCTATGTCAGCGAAATTAGGAAACAAGGGGCGCTCGCACTTTGTGTTTGCAATGCATTTGTAATCATTTTGACGAAATCGGAATTATTGGTGCAATTGGGTCATTGGCTTTATGATGTCCAACAAACTTGTAGTTTATCATCACTACTTGTTTTGGTTTCGGAATGTTGCGGTGACGTAACCCATATGGTGTCATCTGATCTCGGTGTCGGTTAACCGTTTGATGTCCAAGTCTCAAGTTTTATCCTTAATATGAGGCAATAAAGCTGTGTAAGCCAATTTCGGCTTACGTGGCCTTAACTTATATAAGACAAAGTCGTATTAGTTACACTATTTATAATTCAAGTACGCCTGAANCAGGGATTCAACAAACCAAACGCACCATGTAAAATAAAAAATTACCGGAATAGTTTCAGTGTTGAGAACAAGTTCAATCCTAATTTGAGATGTGTGCATAAGGGCTCGCAAATATTCTCTTAGCATTGCACAGAACAATGCAAGATGTAAATGGCAATGATGAAATTACTCAAATTCTGGTGATTTCCGACAGATTGGTCAGTATGTGCTTTCCTTGATTCAAGAATAACCAAAGTTTAAACAATCGTTCCTATAGTGAAGTGTCTGGAAATAAAAATTAATTACTTGTGAAAGTTAAAAGGCTATGAATTTTTAACTTTCTTGATTGAGATATATTTATTTATATATATAAAAAGAACAAAAATAAGTGGTGCTTGTTAAAGAAACGTTTTTATCAGGGTGTCGATGTTTTATGATTGCTGAATGCTGACTGCTGGATGGATCATCGATTTGCCACAGGGTGGTCATTTATTTACACTTGGATCCTAACAGGTTTAATAATCAGACTACAATAGTGGCCACAAATGTAGATATTGACGAACTTTATTACTTGATAAAACAGTTGTTGTCTAGTGATCTGATGTATTTTGAATCAATCGCTAATTTTGTTGACGCAAATTAAGATGAAATAAAAATATCAAATTGTGATATATGAACCAACCAGCGTGAATTTGCAATGGTACACGTGTGATTATCAAAGAGATTACTGAACATTTTATTGAAGCAACCATTAAAACCGTGCGTCCTGAGGACCCTTTTAACTGCTTCGGATATTTAGTTGGTTTCGAACTAGTCTGTTTTGGTGCACCGAAATGGGGATTTTTCTTAGTCTCCTGAACAATGAATGCCTCATCTCTCTCGGTAAACGCTTTCCTTTTGCTCATTTTCTGTTTGTTTGCAATTCTTGCTGCACAGTTCCCCGACTTTTAATGCAATATTCTTTTATATCCAATTGAGGTTTGCCTTTTTTGTTGTGTTTCCATTTATTTAGGAATCAATTAATTAAAATTACTTTAAGAATTATGAGCATAGATATAAAAGGTACTGAATAAAGTTATAATTACTATTTAGTAACAGAACACGTCTGTACTTGACGGCAACGCAATCCAGAAGAAGGAAGTTGCTTTTTACAAATGCTCAGGGCTAACACTCAGTGCTGCCAACTATGAACACTGATATTTAGTGTTGTACAATTTTACGTTCATATCACTTTTGGTACAGTTCAATCACTCGCTGTCTAATTTCCACGATTGGTTTTAATTAAACTTTAGTATACCCTTTGTCAAATATTTTAGGAACTAGCTCTTTTTTAATTTTACTCTTGGCGAGATCTAATTAACTTTCAGTGCTTCGCGGACTAGACAACCTAATTACAGCGAGTAACTAAACTGAGTTTTCATTATTTCTTATCCTATTATAAATATTTTTGCTTAGGTCTAGATACAAAAGCTCAGTTCACATTCTATGAAGTGCAAAGCTTAAGTGTTAAATGTGGATGTGTGTACGCAAAGCGTGGCATAGGTATTCGATGATGACCGCCTACTAATTATGGATTGTAAATACGAATCTGTAAGTGTACATTCCTTAACATTGGATTTGGCATTATTTTTCTCATTTAACACTGAAAGTGCTCTGCCAATGTGAATTCCGCTGATGCTAAACTGCTGTGAAACACTCTCATCGTCGCGAGTATCCTTGCGAAAAAAAGCCTTGCGACCTAGCAAAACAACAGTAGCAGGCAATGCATTTCTTTGACATTTAGCTTTAAAATTGTTTGTTAACATTTTTTTATCATTTTATAAATTAGGTACAATTGTAAAGCATTTAAAAGTTATTAGTTTAAGCATACAAAACCAAAAATAAATAAAATAAAATAAAATTAAAAATAAAAAATAGAAATGTGTTTGCAATCTGTATGGAATATTTTGGTGAGTTTTACATATATTCCATATTATTTATAAGTTTATTCAGTTTTTTATATATAACTTATGTACTTTTTTTATTAACAGAGTCAATTAATAAAACATTAAAAAATTAAAGAAATGTATTAAATATAAAGTTATAGAAAGCGTCCGATCTCTAAAAATTCTGGATACATTTGTAGGGCAATTTATTCTCAAAGTACAGCGACATGCTATAAAGTAAAATATAAAAACTAAAAACAAACATGGTGCGGATTTTTAATATCTAAAAAATAAAAATTCCTCAAATCACTGACGCAATATGGAGAGAAAAAACTTTTGTAGGCAGGTTTGTCAAAATTTTCTTGGGAATATAAAAGCTGAAAACTACCGACAAATCATAGAAGAACTTCTTCCGGCTTATAAAGCGAAAGTATCCACTATTTCACTTAATTTATATTTTGGCCTCACACTTTCTCTCCTGAAAATCTTGATGCTAGATGGCCATGTTAAAAGGTTTTATCTGAAAATCTGGAAAACGCAACACTTCAAAATGTTCAACCATAAATATTTTTGTGGGTCGATTCGCCACGAATATCCAATGGAGAGATTGAGAATATAAAAGGCGTCAATTTCGGCTGCACCGGACTTACAATAACTTTGTGCATATCTAATAACAAATATATTTGCATGGCAGCTATACACTATTAAATTGTACCGTTTCCTTGGACAACAGTTTATATGGCAGCTATATCCTATAGTAGTCCGATATTAATAATTTGCGTACATACAATCGGACGGACAGACAGCCACAGACAGTAAATCGACTTAGCTTATCGGGTTATCATCTACAGAAACAGGGTTATTCGACGAAATTCCCAAAGCTTGGAGACACGTAGCTTTCATATTATTGGCAAGGATTGTAGGGGTATAAGCATCTTTTCATTTCTGTTGAAAATCCTGGAGAGACTGATGGACTTGTACATTAGGGGCAGAACATCGAAGGACAAGATGTTAAGGTCTCAGTATAACTACTGTAAAGGCAGGTTCCCCATACCATTGTATCACATATGGAGGGAGCTCTTATTCACAAGGAGTATACGGGAAAAGCACTCCATAATATAGACGAAACCTTAACAATGGGAGACCGGAGACGGTTATTGGAGCCTTTCAGCTGGCGTTCTGTTCTGTCTCCTTTACTCTGCATCTTGTGGTAAATGCGCTACGAGGCTGTCAGGTGATAGTCTATGCGAATGGCGTTGCTCTTATGGTTAAAGAAGATTTTCCAGATACCGTCTTCGAGTTAACCTTAATGCACTTGTAGTTGGACCACTGCGAAAAAGTTTTGGAGGTAGTGTGGAGGCATCAGTTGTTTTTAATGCTGTAAATAAGCTATTTAGAGACGATCTGGTTTCCACCAAAAATTTAGCCAATAATGTTTTATTGTGTGTTTGTCTCATGGAAGGCTCTCGCTAGAGCCACGCTCATTAAACAGCTAGAATGGTTCAACAAGCGCCTCTTATTGGCACCAGGAGTGTACAATGTACAACAATAACAATGCCCTTAAATATAATATTCTACATTTATCATCCTGGGACATAGCCATTGACATTCCGAAATCATCAGTCACTTCGACCGCCTCCCTGAAAATCTAAACCGCTGCGTCGCGGAACCCACTGGAAAATTTTTCTCCGCGCACATATTTGCGAGGGATATGTTGGTGCAATAGAGTCACTGGAGAAAAGGCGCACTGAGTTTTTTCACATTATGGTACTGAATCAATGGACCTCATGCGAGCTTAGCACATGTTGCTTAGTAACCAGATGTGCGATCGGGAAATCCATTTGGTTCAAAATGAAATTACTAGTTCTTAGAAAAGTTCATCTCGGCATAATAAAAGGATTTCTGCACACAGTCTTATTGATACTCATGCGGTGTGGATAAATATTTTGGAGGAAGCAAATGGTCAAAGTTGCAAAGAAGGCACTGTCGCATCCTCTGTCCAGCTTTTGAAAGACCGAGGCTGAAACATTCCAGCGAAGCAGGAGAGATTGCCGAAATTGATATTAGGCACCTCAACAGATTTGTAGTAGTGAATTCTTGAAAGACGTTACGTCAAAAATATAATTTAACCTAATTGTCTTCAAGGTTACTTTTCACTTTTTTTTATTTATTTAAAAACATAGCACTGGTACTTAACAATCCTATTGAAAGAGTATAGAGCTTACGTAGTTTGTGGCAAAATGAAGCGGTAGATTTAGGAGCAATCACAGTACCAGTGACGTCATAATAGCGAAAGATTTTATTTTTTTTTTAGACCATTGCCAACTAAAATCTTCAACAAACGTTTCTCCCTCAATATGAAACACTCACTATAGATATTAACTAGCTATAACTACTCAGCTTTGTAACCCCTCCATATCGGAAATATATCGCTACGCCATTTCGTAGTCATCGTCGAAACTTGGTTCGTAGGTCCCCAGGTACAACAGCTGTGTGGAACTAATGCAACGGGCTGGTACAAGTGTTAAACAATAGCGTGAAGAAGTATCAAAATAAGTAGCATGAGGACAGTAGTAGATCGCACCACTCCAAACATTGCCGTTTATGAAACAGTAGACATACCTAAAACGGAGAGAAAACACGCTTATATAAATACTCAAAATTAGGAATGTTAAAACCAATTCACTGTTGACGGGTTGTTGCAAGTTCATTGCCGACTGGAAAACGACCGTTCTGTTGTATGGTTTGACAATATGCA